TTTGTTTAAGGACTATACTGAAAATTCAGATCTTTCATGGTTAAATTGTCATTTAATGTTTTAGAAAGCCCAAAAGTAAGGTCAGTCTGATTATGTTCCTAAGCCCATTTTAATACTCTCTTTACAACATTTAAAAATGCTTTTCATGTCAAAATCATCAAATGTAACCCACATACAAGGTGAAATGCTGTTTGTGAAAGTCAGTAAAGTTCACCCAAAGGATTTAACTTAGATGCCTCTTAATGGATGAAAGCATAAAAAGACAAAGGTTTTAATCTGTCTCTTTTTGACTTCATGTTTTCCTGTTTGTTGTGAGTGTACCCAGGGTAGTTAATGTTTTTGCAATTATACCTAACAGTTGGAGGTGTACTCGACTGAAGTGACCCAAATCTTATATAAGTAATTCTGATCATTATCCTGCACTTTGAAAATAAGGCCTGAACTATAATTTTTTATGGGAGGGATTTTGCAAGAAATGTTCTGTGTCAGAATAAGGCAGATCCTTAGCATGGTTTTAATGTACATGCTGAGCACTATGTCTTTTAAGATACTAATGTAGTTATGCCTATTAGTATGTATGAAGGAGATAAATGCTTAACAGAAGACAGACAAGGTAAGTACACTTTTTGCAGTAATCAAGCATTTGCTTTCAGCAAGTCCTCCTAGGAGGAGTCCACTCCAGCAGTATAGTAAAAGTGTTATTTAGGTCCCTCTATATTTTTGAGGATGCCCCTGATACTACAAAGACTCCAAAGGGATCAGTTGATATGCTGCATCTATAAAAACAATTTAAGGAGCTCTAAGTAAGTCTTTGTGCCAATTATGTTAATGAAGCTGCAAAGGGACTGCAAATTTAGAAGTCCTCTAAAGTCCAGTGCTGGCCCAGCAATTCAGAACCTCCTTAACAAGACATTAAATTAGGCTCTTTAATCTCTCTGATTGGCGCTTTTGAGTATAGAAGAATACGTGAACCCTGCTGTGTTCTAAAAGCAGTAGAACATCTTCACTAGCCAATAATACCTCAGGCTGCAAGTCTCCTGTACTAAATAATGATGTAGAGAAGTTTCATTTCACTGCTACTTGTCAGGGCAGTTTTGCTGTTGAACAGTGCTTGCTGCAGCTGTGCTGGAAATGGATCAGCTCTGCCCTCCACGACTGTAAGGTCCTGTTCCTAGGCATTGCTAAATATCCTGTCCGTGAGCTAAGGGGTGAAACCTAGGAGTAGCCAGAAGAAGTTACCCTGCTGAGAGAATGGGGGTTTCGGTACCATGATTCCTCTCAGGAGGCATCAAGCCTCTCCTCACAGAATGGGAGTTTTACAAACTGATGACCGGTTATTTAAACTCAGGTACTAAAACTTAGAAAGCCTAGAGGTTAACTTAAAGACATTTAAACTTAGAATAACAACTTTATCTCACAAAAGTACCGCTCTAATGGATGCTAGTTCTTTTAAAACCATAAAGACCAGCTCCTTGGCTGCAGTAAATCTGCATGGTTTCCCCAAAATGCATGAGGCTTTTTGGCAGCTAAGGAGTTATTATTCATTTAGCATTTCATTTAAAGAATATCTGTGTGGTTGCTACTTTCTAGCTACAACTTTTATCCCAATCCCACTTTCAGCTGCTGTATGCATTCTCCCCAGAATGTGACTTCTGTAGTGGTAATGTATGTATACATTAGGGTGACTCACACCATCGCCCATCTCGTTTGCCTTCTGTGGAAAAGGGATTAAGACAAACACACATCGCAGTGAGTTCCAGCCTTATCTTGTCTCTGATTACTCCTGCTCTAAGCTTTTGGCTGAAGTTCTGAAGAACAGTTCTACTTCAAATTTTTTTCAAATAATTTACATTCTTTTGCAATTTTTTATTACCCTTGGCTATTAGCTTTCTAGAACAGGTTTACAGGGTATCATCCTTATGATTTGTATATGAACTCCAAGGCAGTATGATGGGACACCTGGCTTGTGTTTCAAAGAAAAAATTATGCGGTATCATTTAATTTTTCCTTAACATTCATCCTCACTACTGGAGGAAGAAAAAAGGTCACCCACTGAGAGAAGAGAGTTGCAAAGCTAATGAATCCTCTAGAGGAAGGCTCTGCACTTCTGTGTCTGTCCCATGCTAAGCAGAATCCCCATCATGGAATATCCAAGGAGATTTGCCCCATATGGTATGTCATTTATGTATGTTGACTTTACATATTATTCCCTCTGGGAATAAAAATTTCCCCATAGTCCTGCTTTTCTCTACTATTTCATCAAAGCCTTTATTTCAGTCATCTCTAGCTGGCCAAAGGGAACTTTTTCTGTGTTCTGCTTTTTCTGTGACTCATTTTTGGTTGTGTTTTTATTTTGTTTAGGGGAAGCAAAAAGGTCTGTATTTTGTAAGGATATTTTCAGAGGCATTAATTTCTTGGTGTAAATGAGTTATTATTATTATCATAACTGATATCTGTCACTCCTTTAAATTGTAGGATATAAGTTTAAATTCATCAGAATATGCAAGAGAATGAAAATTGGCACAGGACTGTACTTCAGGTACAGCCATATTAGCTTTTCACTTGAATGATTAACTTGCATATGATCACACCTGTGTATGTGCACGTAAACAAACACCCACCATTTCACCCTCTTCCCTAACTGATACAGTCAAAACTGATCTTACACCTAATAAGAAATTTTGGGGAATGGGGGAGATTTAAAAGTTTAGTCCATGTAGAGCTCTCAATATTTTAGACAAATTCCATTGATTTTCTTCAGGCTTGCATTTTCTGAAGATTTTTTTTTGTTGTTTTAGCAGGAATTTTGTTAATGTTATTTTTAGTTGTGTTATCTATTAAAAAAAGCAAACAAAGTAATTTAGATCTATTTTCTAATCTCTTAGGTTTTAAAAAATAATTTATCACGGTTACAAACGAATGGGGGAAGGGGGAAGAAGAAGAGAGAGAGGTCTTGCCAAAATAATTTTTAAATGTTCACAATGGCCTATAGGCTAATGCTTTTTAACAAAGTTATCAAATACAGTGGTATCTGAGTGCCTTGCGTAAAGGCTAGTTATTCTTCTGGGAACATTTATTTTAAGGGGTCTTTTCTATATTTCTCCATTTCATGAGAATCCTGCAGAGGAGTGAAGCATGATGCATAAAGAGGCGGCTTCACTCTCCTGAAGTATTCTTGTGGAAGAAATACTATATATTGCTTTTCTTGTGTGTGTATACTTTATAGTTGTTTCTGTGTAGGTACAGAAGAAGAGTCACATGTGGATATCCCACTTACCCACAATCCCATTGCTTTGGGCAATGAGTTGTAGTGCAGCAGATATTTTGTTCTAGAACTCTGCACAATAATTTCTTAAATGTTTTAACATCAACCTGTCTTTCCTATAAATTACTCCAAACACCTATCTCTGTCAGATACTTCAGAAATTATTTTGAAAACTGTATTTTGATTACCCTTACCTTTCACTCTGGCAGACACTTTAGTTTAAAGTAATCTATCACATGAAAAATTTCATGAACTCTTTAAGGAAAATCATATGTATAAATTCATATTAAAAAACCTTCACAAAATACTTTTTTGTAAAGTGCTTTTTTATTATGCATTGTCAACAGTTAAATGATATGTTGCTGTTTCATGCAAGCTGGAATAGCGTAAAGAGAGCAAATGTTAATCCATAAACATGTTAAGGAAAAAAAGTGCTAAAGCTGCAGAAGTTTGTACAAGTTTAAATATGAAACTGGAGAGCTGCTCCAGTTAAAATGACTTTGAATTAGTTACTGAAACAACCACTAGTCTTAATTGCCCAGTGTTCCCAAACTTGGTTCCAGTTCTGCCTAGGATGTTTTTTTTTATCCTGTGTTAAAATTTACACACTTTTTTTTTCTTTCATGCAATATAATGCTAGTAGCAGCTCTAGGAATATAGCAAAATAGTACTATTCACCAACCAGTTGTGGTTACTATTCAATAATGAGTCCATTTCAAACTAAGTACTGCGTGATACTGCAAAAAAAAAAACCACAACCAAAACTCAAAAACCCCAACCAAAACCCAGATCTTCTAGTATGAGCTAACACAACAAATGTACATAATATGTCATGGAGTAACATCTCAGTTACAATAATAACAATACGTAAGAAAAAACCTGTGGAAATATTTTTTCTTGTTTTGTGCACACCAGGTGCTTCACATCTTAATTTGTTACAAATGATAAACTGTAAAATTGAATTATTACATTTCTGCAGGACAGTCATGTAGTAAAATATTTCTTGCAATGTTCAAGTTGTTTTAATTACAGACTGAAAAAATTCTATTTTATGCATCTCCATTGCCTTAAATATAAACTAAGTAAATAAAGTCTGAGTAACTGACAGTATGTAATACAAAATGTCATATGTAATCTCTGGATATTAAATTCTTCAAGACGGACTGTAAAATAACGGGACTGAAGAAATACCTATTTACAATGTACTTTATAATGAGTGACAGACGTAGCTGATCACTTAGCTGATTTATTCATTTTCATGATAGAATCTATTTAATTTGTTCTTCTACAGTGAGCTGTTTGAACTTGACTTTCTCACCTTGGAATGATGGAATGTATTTTGAGCTCAGTAAATCTAAGCTTGTGTTTATGTCATTCTTTGACACTTCGATTATTTCACTTTCTTGACAGGCATTAATATAATTCAGTTCTGTATCATAATTCCCATGTTCTTTTGAATATGGGCTGCAGGACTTTTTAGTTATGTCTAAAAAGTGCTGTTAGTACGAGACTTCTGACAAGTGGCATCTTTGTTAAATTGAGAAAGACTATTAGAGGTAACAGCATCTTCATCTTTTGAGTTCTGTTCATCCCGTGAAACAGTTACAGTATCACTAGAATAGCTCTCATGAGATTCATACATCTCAAATATTTCTTCATTTCCAGACCGACTTTCCAGCTTTGCAAAGGCATGCTGCGGTACAGTGCAAATTGCATGGCTTAATGCTGTATTGGCTTAGATGTAGCTGAGAGAGTTGTTTCCTGCCTGCAAGTGTTTAGATGTAAAAAAGTGGCATAATTGTTATTGTTATTGTTATTCAAGCTGAATTCTTTATGATTCTATTGTACTGTTACATCATCAGTGTTAGTAACCTGTACAACTTCTGAATCATCAGTTTCATTGATTTTTTTCTCTTGCTCCTTCCCAGCACTTTGCACAATCACTTTATCACCTTCATTAATATCCTTTCCACTTTCCTCCCTATTCTGTGATCCTGCTGTTTTATTCAGCTTATGTTGCACATTCCCAGCTTCCTCATCTTTTTGCTTATTGCCTGCTTCATTTTTCTTTGCTTTACAGATATTTGTAGCTTCTTTTTCAGACAGAGAGCTAAAGGATGAGTGTTGATTTTGTTGTGCATTTGCAATCTCATTTTTATTTTGCTCTCTCACAGCATTTTTTTTCTGAGGATCCTTTTTATTGCCCAGAGGTTTATTTGTATGTAAACTAGAACCTTCTTGAGCAAAACCTTCTGGGGGCCACTTTGACTTATTTACTTTAGCCACTTCTTCAATAGAAAATGTTTTCTTAGGTGTTGCACCATCTGTTGAAGGCGGCCATGTCATCTTTAATTTACCTCTTTCTGTGGATTTTTTCAAATTACTATCCAAAATATCAGGATGAATACCTTCAGTACCAGAGTACAAGTCTTGATCAATTTCTGTAATTGGTTTAGGATCAACAGGTATACTATTAATTGGATTTGTTTCTTCAGCATGAATATTGCCAGCTGAGCTACACTGATCTTTAGAATTCCATAGTTCTTTATGCTGCTTGTGTCCAAAACCTTCATCATAATTCCCTTTTGATTTGAAAAGTTGCTTAAAATGGGGTTTACAATATATTTTTCCATGGAGAGATGCGTAATTTCCCAAGCTGCCAAATGGAAGAAAATTTGTTTTATACTTTTACATATCATAAATCTACTGTGAATTTTACACTTTACTTGGTATTTGAAGTACCCCTACATGACAGTATATATAAAGAAAGGAAGAGCAAAAGAGAGCAAATTCAATGTATTCGCCAATTCTGACCTTCCCCCTCCTCCCCCCAAAGTATCTAAAACCTTTAATTGCAAATTCCCATACAATTTCAAAGTCAAGATGAAGAAGAAGAGTCATGCTTGTGATTTAAGAAAGAACATAAATTATTCAGTTGTTGCACAGCATGAGCTTCAAATAGGAATGTTCCACAGCACTTTGGGGTTGTTGGGACCTTTTTCTTCATCATATTAAAGACTGAGTCTTCTATTTTTCTAAAAAATAGGTGGAGAAAATACAGTGCTGATTTTCTTTAGCCTTTGTGCAAATTATAGAAATTTTTGTTTAATTATATTTGGATTCTGTTCCTAAATTAAGTAAAGGAAATGTGTATAACTAACCTCAAAGGTTTTAAAATCAGAACTGTTACCCTTTGCAGTCTGATAGAGCAATAAATACTGCATTTCATATAAGGGTTACAAAAGTGGTTTGCTAATGCGGAGAACCATCATCATTTCATTTTATGGATGAGGAAAAGTGAGAGAAAATTTGGTCTGTGTTCAGATGTCTTAAATTCCACCAAGTTTCTGTGTCTACTGCTTCCTGTTCATGAGCTCTCCTGAAGGTCTGGAACAGTCAGTAGGAAGTAATATGCAGAAGAATTTGGAAGGTACTGGGATGAAGCAGTTCTTTAGAGAATTTAAAGGACTTGTTCCACGTCACAGCACAGATGTCAGTAGCAGAGAAGAAAAGAGGAACCCAGGTTACTTCCCTATCAACCCAACATCCTACAGGCTGAATAGCCGAGTTGAAAATAATTTCAACAGCTGTATTTATATTCAGATGCAGAGTTCTACGAGTGTGAACATGCAGTTACTTCTTACCTTAATTGACTGCCACAGTGGTGACATCGGAAACACGATTTGTGAAAGTTCTGCTTGTCGGCAACTAGGCATTCCACTGGGTAAACTCTCTGTTGACAGAGTCTGCACGTTTCATTTTCCTGAATCTGCAGTTTCTAGAACCACATATTAAAAAGTTATGAGTTCATTTAAGCCAGATTATTTTTAACAGTCCATATGTTTTGTTAAAATTGTAGTTTTCTTTATCCATTAACTGGTATCTCAGCTGTCAATTTTAGGGCTTCATTTTTGTTCAACTAACAGTGATACTTTGAAAGTGAAAAACTACTCACCTTTCCCTTTTCAGAAATCCATACATTTGAAAGGACTATTCACTTCACTACACCAGGTACAATATTTCCCATTTATTTGTAATAACTACTTATTTTGTGAAATGAGACAGGATAATAAAACATTTACTAGTATAAGTGGAATTGAGTATAACGTATGTATAATCTTTGAATCTGCAATGTGATTTAGAGATCAATAAACGGGGCAGATGTTTGAAATTCTGATGAGGAAGTTTTACTTAATTATGCCAAAAGCGCATCAGGGAGCTCCACTTCTGTGGTAAACTGCAAAGTGTACACTCATATGATCCAGATATGCTATGGGCATAATTATTTGTGATTTTTACAATTTTCATTTTCAGACCTGACACTTTCTTCAGTTGATTTTTAAGACTGAATTAGCTACAATTATATTAGCTAACTATATCAAATCCTTTCTTTTATTAAGTATAATTAATTATAAAGGGAACTAGTTCTCTGTAAAGTACAAAGCATGAATAGAAGGTGTATTTCATACCAGTAAGGGGCAGAAGGAAATAATGGACAATCTGTTGGGCTTGGAAAAATGCATGCTGCTTTTCTGTGTTGATTTCTGAATTGCTATGAAAACCATGCGAGCAGACAAATACAAATAGGGTGGACCAAATAATTGCGTGTATAAATATATCTCCATTGACAATAGTAATGCCCCTTGACATCAGCAGAAAATTTGGCCCCTTCCAGCATTCTATCTGTTTTTGGTTTGCCTGCTGTTACTGATTTTGTAGCATTTCACAAATCAAGACAGAAAGCGATGTAGATTTTCTAACTACAGCTTTAGTTGCCACATATCTCTAGTGCCCATAATGAGAGCTGTGAAAAATGCTGAAAGAGAAACTAAATATCTTCAAAATAATGTAGGACTTGCAAAAGAATAAACCACCAGTAAAACAGAAAAAAAATCCCCCAAAGAATTGTTGGTCATGAAATAGAAAGCCTGAAATGTAGCCTCAACTTAGTCTCCAAACGGGCTGAGAAAGAGAGGCCGGGCGGGTGTGGAGTGCAGCGTTCTGGACACGCCTCCCGCCCCGCTCGGCACGGGCTGCTCGTGCTTGGCGGCGTGAGCCAATGTAAGGACCCAGCTAAATATTCTTAGGTATGGAAGTATTCTGAATGTGGAGAGGGAGGAGAGGAAAGGCACCAGCTTTGTGATACGGAAAGGGATAAGGTAATTGGGAGGGGGAAAAAAGGTGACGTCTCCTGGAGAACTGTCTGCTGGATGGTCATACTTCATTTAGTTGGATAGTTGATAGTGAGTGTTGTGCCTCAGAAGGCAACAGTCAAGAGAAGAGAAAAACAAAGAGAAAGAGGGAATTTAAGGGACGTTTATCCCAAAGCAACTTCCAGGACTGAATAGTGGAGCCAATATTCATCTTCATGAAAATTAATCATGTGTTGGATGTCAGTGGCAAGGTTTTGGGAGCTGGGGGGCTGCAGGGGCAGCCTCTGTGAGGAGAGGCCGGGGACGCCCCGGGCTGAGCCGGTTGTAGCCAGCTGCAGCAGACTCGCCGCAGGGCACAGCTGAGCCCCTCAGCCATGCTGGTGGTGCCCCTGGGAAACGTATTCAAGGCGGTGCAAAATGCTGCACATGCAGCGAGGACTGAGGAAAAAAGTTGAGAAACAACCCTGTGAACACCAAGGTGGGAGGAGAAGGAGGGGAGGAGATGCCGCAGCAGAGATTCCCCTGGCGCCTGTGGAGAGGCCCACACCGGAGCAGATACCCACACTGCAGCCTGTGGAGGACACCATGCTGGAGCAGGTGGGTATTCCCAGAAGGAACTATGGCCTGTGGAGAGTCCGCGCTGGAGCAGGGGAGAAGCGTGAGGAGGCAGGAGCAGCAGAGAGGAACTGGTATGGACTGACCCCAGCCCTCCGTTCCCCATCCTCTCTGTGCTGCTGGCGGCGGGGGGAGGAGGTAGAAGAGTCAGGAGTGAAGGAGTAAAGTTGAGCCTGGAAAAAGAGGGCAGGAGGGGACGTGTTTTAGTGTTTGTCTTTGTTTCTCACCATCTAAATCTATTTTAATTGGCAATAAATTAAATTAATTTTCCCCAAGTCAAGTCTATTTTGCCTGTGAAAGTAATTGGTAAGTGATCTCCCTGTCTTTATTTTGTCCCATGAGCTTCTTCATCCTATTTTCTCTCCTTGTCTTGTTGAGGAGCGGGAAAGAGAGAGTGGCTGGGTGGGGGTCTGGCAGGTCAACCCACCACACATGAACGGTCCTAAAAAATCAGTGGGGGAAAGGCTGGTCTACTATTTGAGATGATCAATATTTACCAGATGAAAGAGATCCAAAATGAAATCCAGAGGCTTGACCATATAGAGAATTCAGTGTTCTACTGGTACTGGGTATTTCTACTCACTTGTAACGTGCTTAAGTATACGGAGTCTGTCTGGAATGCAGTTAATTTTCTTCATAGCAGCTCATATGGTGCTATGGTTTGGATTTGTGGCTAAAGTGTTGATAACACACCAGTGTTTTAGCTATTGCTGAACAGCACTTGCACAGCGTCAAGGCCTTTCCTTCCTCCCACTCTGACCCCTCTCCCTGCCCCAAGGGAGCAGGCTGGGGATGCACGAGAAGTTGAGAGAGGACACAACCAAGACAGCTGACCCCAACTGACCAGAGGGATATTCCATACCATATGACATCGTGCTCAGCAATAAAAGCTGAGGGAAAGGAAGCGGGGACATTCAGAGCTATGGCATTTGTCTTCCCAAGTAACTGTTGTGCATGTTGAGGCCTTGCTTTCCAGGAAATGGCTAAACATCTGCCTGCTGATGGGAAGTAGTGAATCAATTCCTTATTTTGCTTTGCTTGCCCACACAGCTCTGCTACACTTAATAAACTGCTTTTATCTCAACACACAAGTTTTGTCTGTT